ATGTTTTTTAAAATATATACTTAAGAAATTGTTAACATGGGTGCCTTTTGGGGAGGTGGGCCCGAATCAGGTTCCCCACCTCCTCTTCTCCTCCCTATACAATCACTCGGGAGAGCGGGAGGTCTCCCTCCCGCTCCCCTCCGAGTGGCGGAGTCTGGCCCGAGGTGGCCGAGGGAGCCGCCGGCCCGTGTAGGCCAACGGCCTCTCCTCGTCCGATGCCACCTCGGGCCCGCTGTTAATACCTTCCCCCCAGGGGAGCGCCGGCCCCGCCGTCCTCTGCGACGGCGTTTGCCGGGCCGGCGCCTCCATTCGGCGGCCTCCTTCTGGGAGATTACCTTCCCGCAGAAGGAGGCCGCCGCGTTCAACGCCCTCTCGCTCCCGCACATGGCTCGCACCAGGTGCGGGAGAGAGAGCTCCCCGTCGCGGCAATCCACTCGCCCCGAGCAGGACCCGGCGCTGCTCATCCCATGCTGCACAGGCAGCTAGGGTATGCAGCGCCGTGTCCTCTTGCTCGGGGCAGTGGTGGCACCGAGCGGTGGGCTCCTTCCTTATCCGGTGCAGGTATCTCCCGAAGCACCCATGCCCGGTCAACACCTGCACCAGACGGAAGGACATTCCACGCCCCCCTGTTTGTCATTTCTGACAGACAGGGGCGGACAGTCTCGGCCGTTGCGAGACCGGACCCTCGCGGGTCAGCTAGCCAGCCTTCCCACCGCTCCAGGGTCCGGTCTCTGGCCTGGGTCATCAGGGCCTTCAGGCCCCTGGCTGTCAGCTCTCCCCCCTCGCGGAGCTCCTTTACCCGCCAGCAGAGGATTCTCCTCTCCTCGGCCAGGAGCTCCACAGGGGGGGAGCCGGCCAGGGTGGTCGCCGCCATGTATGACACGGTGCGGAATCCCCGGATCGCCCTGATCATAAGGGGCCTAAGAGCCTGCCTCATCTGCCGCTTGCCCACCGCGGTGGCCAGCAGCTGAGGAGCCCAGATAGGCGCCCCGTACAGGGCGACCGAGAGAACCGCATCGACATACAGGCGGTGAGCCTGCCATCCTAGGCCCCCTTGGGCACGCATCAGCCTAGCCACGGCCAGTCCGGCTTTACGCACCCTGGGGGCCAGCTGCTTGAAATGTGGCCCGAATGACCACCGGCTGTCCAACGTCAGGCCGAGATATATCATCGTCGGCCCGACGCGGACGTGGACGCCATCGACTAGGACCCGGGTCTCCGGCGGTGCCTGACGCCGGCCGTGAAAAAACACAGCCTGAGTCTTCTGGGGCGCCACCTTGAGACCCAGGTCTCCGATGTTTCCCACCACCGATGCCACTGTCACCTCCGCGCGGAAGCGGGCCTCCTCCCAGTTCCCCCTTTCGGCCACCACTAACGTGTCGTCTGCGTAGCAGACGACGTGGCAGCCGTCGGGGAGCGGAGTGCGAAGGACCCGGTCGAAGCCGATGTCCCATAGCAGGGGGCCGAGCACCGACCCCTGCGGGACACCGCGCTCCATAGTGCGCCAGCCTTCCTTGGTGAAGGCGAGGTCTGTGTCCCCGAAGTAGGCGGACATTATCCGCCGGAGATAGACGGGCACCTCGAAGTGCTCGAGGGCCCGTCCTATCTCCGGCCAGGGCAGGGTGTTGAAGGCATTGGAAATGTCTAGTGACACTGCCAGCAACACCCCGCCCCTTATCTCCACGACCGCCCGGGTCAGGTTCCGGACCCACTGAATAGCATCCAGCGTGGATCGTCCGGGCCTGAACCCGTATTGGCGGTCGTGGAGGTCCAGCCCACTCGAGGACATGTGCTGGACGAAGCGGTCCGCGATGATGCGCTCCAGCATCTTGCCCGCCTCGTCCAGCAGGCAGATCGGCCTGTAGGCTGACGCACTACCGGGCTCCTTGCCCTCCTTCGGGAGGAGGGCCAACTTGGCCTTCCTCCACTCTGGGGGGAAGACCCCTCCCTGAGGCATCCTGTCATGACCCCGCAGGTGGCTGCGGACAGGTCCCCTTCGGCCAACGCGAGAGCCCAAGCGCGGCCCGGAATCGCATCGGGGCCAGAGGCTTTGCCCTTACCTCCGAGCTTTCTCCAGGCCTTGACGAGCTCCTCTGGAGTGACCTCCAGGCCCTCGTCTCAGTCTCCCTCCCCCATCTCTGGGGAAGGGATCACCGGGGGCCCCCTTCCGCCCTCGGGAAGAGGGCGTCCAGAAGCCCCTCGAGGGCCTGGGGGTCCAACGTCTCCGTCTGTGGGGGCGCCCAAGGACGGATCTTCCCTATCGTCCTCTTGTATGGGCGCCCCCACGGATCGTCATCCAGGGAGCTCACCAATTGCTCTCAGGCTTCCCGCTAGGCCTCTTTTATGGCTTTTTTGAGGACTACCCTGGCAGCAAAGTAGTCCTCCTTTACCCTTGTGGCATCCCCGTCTTGTCGCCGGACGCGCGTGTACGCCCTTCTGGCGCGGTCGGAGGCACTGCGGAGTACCGCAATGTCCTCCGACCACCAATACGCCGCTCGGCGCCGACGGGGGTGGGAACGGGGCATCGCGGCGTCGCATGCTGACGCCACTATCCCCGTTATCTCCCTAGCCCCTTCCAGGGGGCCGGGGTCCCACTCACCTGGCTCTATGTCCACAAGGTGGCCACAAGGACAGCAGCCTGGAACCTGTCCACGTCAAGTCGACTAAGGGCCCATCTTTTGGGGAGAGGAAAGTTCCTCTCCCCTGGGCGACGAGCCGACACCTGCTTCGGTTTGGGGAGGCGGAGGGCCCAGACTATATATCTGTGGTCAGATAACGTCTCTCCCTCCGCCTCCACCCTCTATTCAGAGATCAACCTAGCGGCCGAGAGGGAGGCCCAGGTCAAATCAATGACCGATGACCCCCCCTCCCGGCCTTATACAGGTGCCGGTGGACCCTCTGTTGACCAACAGAAGACCCAATCCCGCCGCCCAGCCGATGACCGCCTCGTCCCTTGGATCCCGCTGCCGGGGACTGCAAGAAATCCATTATTTTTGCATGAAATTGAAGGCTTTAATTACCATAGTTAGAATGATCCGATTTAGATCAAATATGCGCCGTTTTGTTCGATTTTTGCTTGTTGCCATTTTGAAGGTAATTTCATTATGCCTCTCTCATAGAAGCCCTCGTCCCTATTGGCAAAAAATTGAGACAGTCGATTTTCACAAGCCTCTCTTGAAGCGAATTTTTCACCAGCAAAATTGTTCGCCATGGACAGGAACAGATGGTAATCACTCGGTGCTAGGTCCGGACTATAAGGTGGATGCATAAGAACCTCCCAACCAAGCTCCCGAAGCTTCTGGCGAGTTACTATCGATGTGTGTGGCCTGGCGTTGTCCTGATAGAACACAATTCCTCTCCTATTGGCCAAAGCTGGCCGCTTCTGGGCGATTGCTTCCTTCAGACGGTCCAATTGTTGACAGTATAGTTCCGAGTTAAGAGTTTTGCCGTAGGGGAGCAGCTCATAGTAGATAATTCCTTGCCAATCCCACCAAACACACAGCAAAACCTTCCTGGCCGTCAATCCTGACTTGGCCACCGTTTCCGCCGGCTCACCGCGATTCGACCACGACCGTTTTCGCTTGACGTTGTCGTAAGTGATCCACTTTTCATCACCAGTGACCAACCGCTTCAGAAACCGATTTTGTTGCGATTCAACAGCGATTCACAGATGGAAATTCGGTCCATGAGGTTTTTTTTCGTTAATTCGTGTGGCACCCATACATCGAGCTTCTTTTTGTATCCAGCCTTATTCAAATGGTTCCAAACGGTTTTTTGTGCAATCTTTAGCTCTTGGGCAATCGAAACAGTGCTTACATGACGGTCGGACTCGACAATGTCCATGATTTTATCGATATTTTCGACAATTGGCCTTCCAGTGCGTGGTGCATCTTTGACATCGAAATTACCGGAACGGAATCGACGAAACCAAAATTGCGCGTGATTGGCTGTTACAGTATCAGGACCATAAACACTATTCACATTTTCAGCCGCCTGGCTTGCGTTTTCGCCTTTATCGAAGAAAAACTGTAAAATATAGCGTATTTTCTCTTTACTAGTGTCCATCTTTGACGCGCGCTCAAACAAAACTGAGTCAACTAATCACAAAACTGTCAAAAAAGTTTTTTTAGTACGAAATCTCATCTTTCTAACGCCATCTAGTGGAACCCGATCGGACTTATACAACGCGAGATACAGATAACTAAAGCCATCTATTGGAAAAATAATGGATTTCTTTTTACTACACCTGATATCTCCACTTAGAGACAACGTACACAAAAAGCACAAGAACACTTTTCTTCCTATTTTTTAAGGCTGAATCGATTGGAACTAAGGAAACGTCGATCGGTTCAGCCATTTCTGAGATATGAATATCTCACCTCGTTTCAACTCGCAGTTTCGCGTAATAATAGGCACTACCGTGCCTCTTGATAATTATGTGCAAATTATGATAGAATTATTCAAATATATATATTATTCATTTCTTAGATGATTAGTCAGTTTGGCAAACATTTATGTGCGTGCCATTCAATACAAAAGATAAAGGGAAAATTTGCATTACTTCATAACCTACGGAGATGAAAAATTTGAAAACGGTTCGCATGCAGGAAAGCATCCGTGATTAATAACGATGCTTCGCACAGATGGTATCGAAGAGATGAGAAGAAAACAGAAGAAGGAACTTTCCATAGAATTCAATGCATTGTAAGAATATTCTTTGCATATAAATAATGTTTATAATGCATTTTTCGCCGTCATTATGCCATTATCGTCATTATCCTATAATACATATCGTGAAATGAGGTCATAGATGCAAGTGTTACCTTAGATCGTAAGACCGCAGACGAATACTCTCACGGAAATTCGCAGCCACTTAACTGATGCGTGCTTCATTTGTTACGAGGAAGTACCTTATTATAGCTCGCGTTGATAAATATTCATGCAGGTGTGACTATATCGGCGTATAAACTGTGCCTGTCGTAAAGTGTTCTTATAAATTCTCTGCGAACATGACAATTTAGTTTCATTGACACTCAGTCTGTGTTAAGTTTGAATCGAGTGCTCAGCAAGATATATCTACGTACATGAACACGCAAACAAATGTACATATTCTAAAGTAAGCTATCGCACGATTTTTACGTAATTGCGTATTTAAGTATGAAAAACATACGTTTTTTAAGATCAACCTAGAGAGAGTTGTAAAGATAGAGCTCAAGAAGTAAAATGTCAAACATTTCGACATTATTATTATTATTATGCATCTGTATTATTTTTATCAACGCGGTGCAATTCGAAACAGTTTACGAATGGAAATACTTCGATTATGAATGGGAAAACGCCAGTCACAAGGAAGCAGCAATCGCATCGGGCGATTACAATTACACAAGGCCCCTGGTTATCGATACCGACGTTTCGAAAGGTGACAGCCATACATAATTGTTTGATAATTTTATTTTACATTTTGCATAAAAGTATTTCAGCAGGATTGTACTTAAGTTAAAAATATTTAATAATTTGCGGCAATTTTATACATATGATAACTTTGCTCGAACTAGACGGAAGGGTCTTTATAACTATCATAAGAACTGACGGCGTTCCGTCGAGTTTGAACACTGTTGGTCGACATCATGGCCCGAGTGGTCCTCTCCTACGGCCATACCCCAATTGGAAATGGACTAAAAGAGGCGATTGCAACGGGATTACTAGTGTTTATAGAGTTGCGGTAAGCGCATTAGGACTCCAATTAGCGATTGCTTTTCGCAATTATTTTTCAACATTATGTCCCATGTCTATATGTACGCAACATTAATATTGCATGAACTTCGTTTTAAATTTATTGTGATACAAATAACTTCTTGTCGCAGATCGATCCTTGCAACAGATTATGGGTCTTAGACAATGGTAAAATCGGACAAAAAGTAGTGTGTTCCGCACAGCTGCTCGTTTTCGATCTCAGTACAGATAAATTAATTAAAAGAATAAAAATACCGGATCATCTCGCACAAAATTCCGAGACGAAAGTCGGCAAACTGATTACTCCAATTGTCGAGACACACGGACTCCATTGTACAGATGTAACGGTAAGTGTGCTAAATAATCACTCGCCGTAATACTGAACTTCAACGAAGAGAATTCAAAGTTTATGCCCGTTGAAATATTTAGCATCGAGATCATGAATAAAGTAAAATTGATCATAAGTTTTTCGTAATTTGAGGGTCTTTTGTTAGGTGTACATGGCGGACGTCACAGGATACGGGCTTGTAATCTATGACCGTGGGCAAATGTGGAGACTGGAGTCGAAAGAATTTCGTGCAGATCCAGCTGTTTCAAATTACACTATTATGGGCGAAAGTTTTACACTGCAGGACGGCCTTCTGGGAATGGCGAAGCATCCGGATGTGCCCGTTCTCTATTTCAGACCCATGTCTTCTCATAATATGCACAGTGCGAGCACTACTGATCTGAAAAGATCGCGATATGGCTTTAAAGTGCGCTACCGCACGATACGAGATGTTATTCCTAGCCAGGCCGCAGCTATGGCTATATCGTCCGGTGGTATATTATTCTTTGGTTTACCCACGGAAGTATCCTTAGCATGTTGGAACACCTGCAAGCCGCTCGATAAAAACAGCTTGGTCAGTCTAACTTGTAAATAAAATTCGATAAAATCCGATTCGAAAGTTACATACGCATGTAACATGTATCATCTGTATCCATCTGCTCACCTAGTTTAAGTTTCTTTTCCTAAATATTTCTAGCGAGAGATATTGAAAAATATGAAAAATTAACATGATCTACTTTGATTCGCAGGGTATCGTCGCTCACGATCAGGAGAGGTTCCAATTCGTTAGCGGCATTAAAATAATACCAGAATGTATCACAGGTGCAAATGAAGAAGTTTGGTTAGTGACTGATCGTATACAGAAATATATGGCTGGTACGACGAATTTTACAGAAATAAATTTCCGTGTTATGAGAGCGGATGTCGCTCAGTTGATAGCTGATACTGTTTGTGACTCACCGTAACAATAAAGACTATTATAGGTACAAAATAAAAATTTAATAAATTTACTTTTAACATGAAAGAATAATTGATTTGATCAGGGAAAACCTCTTAGAAAAGTATTTAAACTCATAAATATTTCAAAAATTAAATTAATTAACGTTAAACTTACTAATGTACTTGTTTACACAATTTACGCATGAGGAAAAGCCTTTTTCTGCTGGTTGATAAAACTAGATACTTCTTGATATCTACGTCGAAGGAATTTTAATTTTTAAATTCGTTACAAGCGCTCGGTCATTCGCATGTAATAGATAAATTGCGATATTTAAATCATTGACAGGTAATATGTACGCTTAGTATATGCGTTTAAGGCATAAGTGCGTTTTAGGAGAAAGTTGCTTCGAAGAAAATCTAGTATTACGCAAAAATTGCGTCATAGGCACAAAAATTGCGTCTAATATCGGAGTGTCTATTTATCGCTTCTAGCGGGTTTATATCTAACAAGTTTTTAAAAAACGCTGTGATGTGTTACGACGTGCCGAACAATCGAATATTAAATTAAATTTGACTTGCAACGAGAAATATATAATCCAGTAAAAAATTATTTATATTCAGCGTAATATGTCATTTTAAAAATATTTCCAAACTTCTAATATTGGAAAAATTGGAAAATATCGAATAAACGTTATGTAAAATAAACATTTAATTCTTACCTACATGCAGAAAAATATTTAACACATAGATATTAGAAACAACCTAACCAATGTAAGAGTCAGTAACAGTTGAAATCTTTCCAAGAATATAAAATATGTTGTTATATATAATATATAATGTGTATATATATATAATATTAAAAAACTGCTCTCACAAGATGAATTCTATACACAAATTGTATGCAACATCTTTTCCCCGATAAAAAATTGTGTGTAGAACATACATTTTCTCAATTGTTCAACATGCAATAAGAGATTGTAAAAGAAAATCTTGCCAAAGCTGCAGCTTATTAAAAACCATGCACAGCTAACGTGCGATAACATCAGCACAAAATATCGTTTTCTAGTTATATAATCATTAAGACGTTATAGATTAGAGAGAGAAAGCAAACGAGCGAGCACTCTATCAATAGGTAAGTGTAATATCTTATTCGGGCTGTATTCCGATATTCATTGCTAGTATTGAAAGTTTATAGTATACTTAATTACAAGTAAAAATGATTACATGTAAAATTTATTATAACAACCTTTTTAAACAAAAAGGTAAAAAAGGATGTATATACATAAAAGTCTAATTAAATATAAAACATTACATCGTATATATAGACAGAGAATTTACAAGTACATTTTATTATAATTTTATTATAATTTTATTATAATAAAAATGCTGTCATGTATGTATTAAACAAGTTGTAGTCCGATATAGTTTTTAGTGCAGCCGCGCCAAGATTTTTTGTATTAAATATTTTTTATTGCATTGTTATAATAATTAATTTGTTATAATAACAAGTAAAAAAAACTCTCTCTTATAACTTAGTGTTCTAATAAATAATGATAAATTTTGTAAAAATTAATGTTATTGACGTCTTTTGTAGTTAGTTCTTCTCGAATTTTCTTGAATAATAATAACCTTTAAAAAGATATCTTTTTAAAATATTGGTGTGTTCCGCACAGCTGCTCGTTCGAAACGAGATCGAAAAATATTGGACACTATTAATAAACGTTTTAAATTTTTATAACACGATATAATATTTACTTGTAAAAATTTATGTTATGTACATTATAATAACAAGTAAAATAATCATATAACTCAGTGTTCTAATAAATATCATTTTTACTTGTAAAAACTTATGTTATGTACATAATAAATATATATCTTAGAAAAAGGAAATAATTTGAATTTGAGATTTCTAAAAATATTAAGTTATTACAAGTAAAAATGATATTTATTAGAACACTGAGTTATATGATTATTTTACTTGTTATTATAATGTACATAACATAAGTTTTTACAAGTAAACATTATATCGTGTTATAAAAATTTAACACGTTTATTAATAGTGTCCAATATTTTAAAAAGATATCTTTTTAAAGGTTATTATTATTCAAGAAAATTCGAGAATGATTCCTCAGTTGACGTTACTGTCTTAATATATCACTTCTTTTGTATAAGTTTTACTTGTAAAAACTTATGTTATGTACACATATATATTTAAAAAAAAATAATTTGAATTTGAAATTTCTAAAAATAGCATAATACGTGTTGCACTTGTACTTGGCGCCTTTTTTACCTTTTTGTTCAAAAAGGTTATTATAATAAATTTTACATGTAATCATTTTTAATTGTAATTAAGTATACTATAAACTTTCAATACTAGCAATGAATATCGGAATACAGCCTGAATAAGATATTACACTTACCTATTGATAGAGTGCTCGCTCGTTTGCTCTCTCTCTCTCTCTCTCTCTCTCTCTCTCTCTCTCTTTCTCTTTCCCTTTCTCTCTCTCCCCTCTCCCTCTCTCTCTCTCTCTCTCTCTCTCTCTTTCTCTCTAATTGCGAAGGTCAGTTTTTAAAGTTTTAACGTAATACAATATATATATACTTTTTTTTCTAATAGTGTACGTTGCGTTGTTCGTATTGGTTCTTTTGTCTTGCTAATACCATCATGGAGCTCCAATTTTTTATTTATTCTGCGAATATAGCATTGGTACTGTCCGGGTAAGTAATTTACAGCTCCTACGAGTTTGAATGTTTCATTTTGTATTTTTATATCTGTTGATAATGTAGCAAGTGTTAATATTGTAGCACATGCTTCATTGGCGCGAAAAATTTTTTGCTCATCTTTCCATTCTAAAGCTTCAATGTCGATAAAAACATGATTGCCGGTTTTATACGTGTAAGTAAGGTTTTTACCTTTGCATCGAAAGCAGTTTTTAACAGTTTTGACGAAATGTTATTCTACTGCTTTTTGCAAGACTTGCATGTCTTCAGTGCATATCGGCTGTATATCAATGCTTATTACGGGATCAACTGTAACTTTTCGGTAATGACAATCCTCACAATTTTTCTCCTATATCATGGAAAGCTCGTTTTTTAACAATTTTTGTATTAACACACCTATATTCATTTCACAATCTAATTCTCCATTTTTACAAATACGAACTGTAATAGGATATTTGCTCTCATCGTATATATTTTATTAGCTATATGGGACTGACATATATTTTTAGTCAAGTCGAAAACGACATTTTTTTTCTGATTGACATAATCGTTGTACGATACTCAATCGTGATAAGCAGTAATAATGCACTGCAATGCTGAATCAAAGAGACAGGTATTTCTTATTTTTAGATGCCCTCTATTTATTTTAATGAGTGGTAAACTATTGTTATCAAAGCCGAACTATTGTTATCAAACTATTGTTACCATTGATCAACAAAGGTAACTTTGTCTGTATACGTGGTCGCTTATGCATATTTTCTATATCTGCACATGGTGTTAGATATTTTCCACGTTTGGTAGTAATTTTATTAATTCCTCTTCACCCCTCCTTTTCGTTCAGGTAATCTTTACTTTCAAGTTCAGCTGATACAGATGGCGGCGCCGTTTGTTCTTCAGCAACAGAGTCTTCCTTTCTCGAGAGGATTTTATCGTCAGCATTGTTCAGATAATCATCAGTTTCAAGTTCAGTTGCATGTTTAACCGGTGACGTTTGATCCTTAGTAACGGAATCTTTTATTTTTGAGAGGATTTCATCGTCGATAAGTACTTTTAAACAATCAGTTTTGTTATCATCCTTTGAAACATTTAGTTTGACACTCTCATTGTCATTCATACTGTCTAATAAATTTTGACTGCTAGACGGATGATTGTCATGATTGTCAAGAGGCTGACACGATGCATGTAATAATTTTGTTGTTCCGACTAACGATCGTAAGTGAATAATAATGAATTTATCATTGAAGATACACCCACCCTTTATACAAAAATTGCTGCCATTTCTATTCTAGACACAAACGAACTACAAACGAAAATTCCTTCATTACAAATCTCTATGCATTATTTGGCTTCGATTTAGTCGGTTTAGAATGCAGTCCCCCCGATAGGGTTGAAGATACACCCACCTTTCTTACAAAAATTGCTGCCATTTCTATTGTAAACAACTACAAACGAAAATTCCTTCACTACAAACCTCTACGCATTGTTTTCGATTTAGTTGGTTTAGAACGCAGCCCCCCCGATAGGGTTGAAGATACACCCACCCTTATTATAAAAATTGCTGCCATTTCTATTCTAGACAACTACAAACGAAAATTATTTCACTACAAACCTCTACGCATTATTTGGCTTCGATTTAGTCGGTTTAGAATGCAACTCCCCTGAAACTCTCAAAAATGCTACCCTGGTTACATAAGGGGTTGTAACTCTTTTCCTGGGCAACTACAAATGAAAATTCTTTTACTACATATTTCTACAAACGATTTGGCTTCGATTAAATCTGGTTTTAAGTCAGCCCCCCATTGTGAGGGGCTGACCATTTTTTCAACCCCTCGTAACTTGTTTAATTTTTTACTACAAACGAAAAGTCTTTCACTACAAATTTCTACAAATACGATTTGGCGCAATTTTATGCAAAAAAAATTTTTTTATTAAAAGTCGGGGGCTAACTTCACATAGGTGTCAAAGAGCCACTTTGGCGAAATAGCGCCAAACCTGGCAACCCTGGACTCAACAGTTGGACAACATTACTAGATTTTCCACTGAATCTCGCTCCTGATTGGTAAATACTTCTGGGTCTATGAAGAATCTAAAAGAATGCTCCAATCACAGACAATAATCACTAAGCGCTCTCTGATCATTTTGTTCTATTGAACGCGGCCATTGTTTCACCGAACTAAATAAAAATATCATACAATGCTAATAACCTAACAGGCACGCATGAAAGAAACCATCTTGCTTTTTAGCATTTGTGGGCAAATCCTGATTGGTTAAAGAGCAGACGCTATTTTGAACCACTGCGCATCCTCGGGAATGGCTCACCTTTCTTATTACACCATGGGTGCGTTCACGACACTCAACGGTTGAGCAACTGTTGAATTTGTCAACGTTATTGGTCTGAATGTAAGGATCTAACAGTAAGGACCAATAGTCACTAATCGTTCATTGAGCGGTTTTCTCCGCTAGCCGCAATGATTGGCCGCGTTCAGTAGAACAAAGTGATTAGAGAGCGCTTAGTGATTATTGTCTGTGATTGGAGCATTCTTTTAGATTCTTCATAGACCCAGATGTGTTTACCAATCAGGAGCGAGATTCAATGGAAAATCTAGTAATGTTGTCCAACTGTTGAGTCTGCTGAATGCAGCCATTGGCTGCATTCAGAAAACACAACGGTTTCATAACGATTGAATAATTCGTCAACGTTATTGGTCTGAATGTAAGGATCTAACAGTAAGGACCAATAGTTACTAAGCGCTCAGTGAGCGCTTTGTTTTCTGAACGCAACCACTGGATGCATCCAGAACCACGAATGCTCACTGAGCGCTCAATGAGCTTTTACATTTGATTGGTATATTCTTTTAGATTTAAGAATATACACCAATCAGATGCAAGAGCTCACAGTGAGCATTCGTGGTTCTGGATGCACCCATTGTTGACATACCCAGATAGCACAAACACCTTCTAGAAATATTCTAGAAATATTTTTTAAAAATATTAGAATATTCTCAGAAAATACTAATATAATGAAAGTATCTTTTATAGATATATATAGAATATTTATTTGTGACCACTTTTAATATTCTGTAAACGTGAAAGAAATGTTCTTCTGTATATTCATGTAATATGAAAAAGATTATTATAATAATGTAAAGAACATATATAGAATATTCCATAGAATATTTCAGTTATACAAAAGCGAGCATCAGTTATATAAGTCTATGTTATAATTTTGCGTTCAACAATGTAAATGTAATACAACACCCCAGTAAACAAGTAACAGTTATATAACTTAGTTGTAATTTCCCCACTCAACAATGTAACTATTACATAACACGAGTGTTATATAATAGTTACATTCTTGAGTGAGAAATTACAAGTAACAATTATATAACTTACTTGGTGTTTGCTGGGACATGTTTACATTGTTGAGTACAAAATTACAACATAGTGATACATAATTAATACTGAGTATTAATTGATATTTAACATAGACAATTAATGTAATTTTATTTAGATTTTGCTTTTTTGTATAGAAAAAGTTTTAGTTTTATATATAAAATAAGTAGAAAGATGTGACGAAATAAACTATTATGTAGAAATTAAAATTTTCTATATTTATATAATATTAAAGGGTTTCTATTATGTATTAATTTCTATTATGTATAATATAGTTGACGTATAATATAATTATTATAAATAATGTATAATATAGTTATAATAGTATAATATAATATAATATAATATTAGTATAATATAATATAATATAATTGTTATAAATAATGTATAATATAGTTGATGTTAGTAATATTCTTTTCGCAAATTTATAACAAAAATGTATTTAAAAATATAATTTTTAAAAAAATATATTTGTACAAACACCATTCATAAAATAATATTTATGTTAAAAATTCTAAATAAACAGAACATTCATTTTCAGACCGTTCCAAAAATAATGGATGTCTACTATTGAATAGGGTTTTTGACAATATATGGAAAACAACTTATTGCCATTTATGTGTTAAACAAAAATCATTTTGAAGTTCATATACTCAGTATACTACAAAACAAATAATATAAATATATTTAATATTAAATTTTTATGGTATAATCTGTATTATCTTATAAATCTAATAAATCTTATAAATCTGTGAAAAACAATTCTGCACTATACTGGTAGAGTTAAATTTCATACGTGAATGTTTATCCTACGAAGTGATTTATTGACGATATCAACAAAAAAAAACTGAATTGAATAGCAACTAATAAATAACCTTTTTATTGCGACTCTTGCGATAAAAATACTTATTTTGTATATGCGTCTATTTTACCATCATTTTCGGTAACTCGTATCTTTGTAATTCACTTTAAATGTTCACGTATGAAATAAAACTTTTCCAATATATACACATACTATTTGGTATAAAAGAAATATCCTCAATATAATTAATAAATGTGTTATACCTGAACACATTTTACATCATAAAAATAAAATACCTCAGAACAAAAAAAAATTAAGAAATGATAATTAAATACTAATTATTCTGTAAGAAACCACTAGTAAAATATAAATAAAAGAACAGTTTTACGTAAATTGCAGTCTTCTAATAAGTAATATTTCTCGTAGCAAGTCACAATAAAGTCACCACATTTGTCACAATTAAGTAATACTGACATCATAATGACGTGCGAATGTTCGCTTTATATTGGGAGTACAAATTAGTTCGGTCCGTTTTTTTGTATTAAAAGATGTATTTATTTCAAACAAAACAGATCAATTAAAGTATTTTCCATCGCTGGCTACTACTTTCTCCCATTTCTCAGGCAATTTTCGAATTCCACTTCGAAAAAATGACTCGTCTTTTAAGGCGATCCAAGTTTGGAGCCAATTTTCGATATCTGCAAAAGAAATGAACCGGTGACCTGCCAAATCGTGCTATATCCTTCGAAACAACCAGTAATCAGAAGGAGCAATGTCCGGAGAATACGGCGGGTGCGATAAAACATCCCATTTGAGCATTTCCAAATATTTTTTTACGACTTTTGCGACATGAAGCCGAGCGTCTCTCGGTTTCAGTTCATAAGGCACTCAATTTCCTTGTTTTTGAATAATTCCCATGTCTCTCAATCGTACGGAAACGGCTTGTTAAGTCACTCCCAATGATTCTGCAAGCTCTTCTTGCGTTTGACTCTGATCTTCTTCGAGTAATGCCTCTAATTCTTTGTCCTCGAATTTTTTTGGCTGTCCAAAGCGAGGCTTATCTTCGACGCTGAAATCTCTATCCTTGAAACGTCGAAACCATTCCCTACATGATTTATCAGTTGGAGCAACGTCACCATAAACTTCAACAAGTATTCGATCAGCTTCAGCTGCACTTTTCTTCCAATTAAAGCAGAAAATTAAAACCTCCCGCAAATGCTGCTTGGTTAACACAAAATTCGACATTTTCAACACTGTAAAAAGCAAGGTTTTTATATGAAACTCAAAACGATATAAACTGAATATTATTGGCAGATGTCTAACTTCTCTGAAACCGCCAAAATTGGCAGTTACTATGAGCCATTCATAACAGCCGGAGCCATCTTTTGAAAACGGATTGAACTAATTTGTACACCCAATAATATATGAGATGTTGCTGACATCATGATGAAGTAAGAAAGTCTATTGTTCGACCAAGATTTTACTTGATAACGATATAGCGATATTCCTGTAATAAAACGGACATTCGCACATCGCCGTGATGTCGTTATTAGAAAATGCCGTGGTGTTATTAGAATAAAGTAAATTTCTTTATGACCTATTTTGCTATGTGGGATAATTAATGCAAAAAAATGGACACGATTTAATAGATCATAATCAGTAGATATTGCCATAAATAAATATTCTATTATAGTGCTTTTTTTGCATTTCTAAACTTTGCTTTTACAAGCCACATTTTCATTGCTGTTTCGATGTCACATAGTGTAATTGTACCATGTGTCTTTTGTACTGCCTCTATAACAAATATATGTTGTATTTATTATATTTATATGTATATATAATATATAAGGGTGTCCCAAAAGTAACGGACCACCCTAATAACTCTTCAGTATTGAGGTTTTAAGGAAAATGACCTGAATAAAAGTTGTAAGGATTTAAGTGAGCTACCTTATGATGACCTTGACTTTGACCTTGACCTCCATTTTCAAGGTCATTTGAAGGTAAACTTGCGTTTTTTAAATGGGAACCCTTGTTTTTATTACACTGTTTTTTTTCTACTAGTCAATTTGAACAACTTATGCCTAAAATATTTTTTATTTGTCTAATATTTTTTTAGATATTTGAGGAAAACTTGATAACTTTTTCAATATTTAACTTACGATATTTCGCTAACTATTTGGAAGAAAAAGTGGTACTAGACTTTCTTGCTTTATTTAGTCTCAAGAATATATTGTTACAATAGCACCCTGACTCTTGTAAGTTACTGACTTTTGGAAATTCCAAAATCATAAAATTAACAAAAATCAGGGCGCTATTGTAACAATATATTCTTGAGACTAAATAAAGCAAAAAAGTCTAGTACCACTTTTGTTTTCGACAAATAGTTAGCGAGATATCGTAAGTTAAATATTGAAGAAGTTATCAAGTTTTCCTCAAATATCTCAAAAAATAGACAAATAAAAAATGTTTTAGATAAAAGTTGTACAAATTGACTAATAGAAAAGAACAGTGTAATAAAAAATAAGGATTCCCATTTAAAAAACGCAAGTTGACCTTCAAATGACTTTGAAAATAGAAGTCAAGGTCAAAGTCAAAGTCATCATAAGGTAGCTCACTTAAATCTCTACAACTATTATTCAGATCATTTTCCTTGAAACTTCAATACTGAAGAGTTATTAGGGTGGTCCGTTACTTTTGGAACACCCTATAATGTTATATGTTTAACGTTATTGAGTAAAAAATGTTACATATAAATACGTATTTATGAAAATATACTTATTATAACAGCTGCAATACGTAAAAGAGAGAATTTATTTTTTCCTTTAAATCCAATCCAACTGTAGTTTTCTATTACTTCGTTTGAAAATAACAAACTCATTCTTTTTATGGTTTGCTTGTATGTAGTTCCGCCAATTTTTGTGAATTCTTTGATCTATTTGTAATAACTTTTGTAAAACTTTTGTAAAAAAATAACTTTTGTATAACAAAACCAAAAAATGATGTGTAAAAGTTGTATTATATATATATACCATCATAATAGCGTTGTTGTCATCTGCCAAGTAATGTTTTACAGAGTTTAATTCACTTATATTTTTTAGAGGAAAGTCAAACTTATGAAAAATAGTTTCCTCGTCGTTCATCAGTAACAAGTTATCGCCTTGTCCCGCAATTTTTGTTAAAATTGTTTGTATATCCTCAGACATTTGCGTGTGTTTAAAATTAAGTAATTGCAACTGACACAAAACTTGTTTTTTAAATGCAGCATCTAAAAGAATATTAATTAATTTTGTGTGTGTGTGTGTGTGTGTCTGTCTGTCTGTGTGTGTGTATGTGTGTGTGTGTGTGTGTGTGTGTGTGTGTGTGTGTGTGTGTATGTCTGTACTATATTAATTTATGTTATAATTACAAGAAAATAATGTGAAATAATAACGAATAAAATACCTTTATCATCTGTCTCATCGATACAACTCATAACATTTTGATTAAAATTTTGTGCGACTTTTGTCGTTTTTTCACACAATAACTTGTTTTTGTAACTGTTACATGTTAATGGTTCTATTATATCCTCTTTTGCCTTCAGATTATTAATTTTAGATTGAACATATGTTGTTGTAGATGTAAATGGTTTCGGATAAGATATAAATGGATCTGCTTGTATTTATGTGTCACTATCTATTTTTAAAGCAAAAATTATCATAACATTTAGATATTAATCAATGTTATTTAAAAAGAATTAAAAATACCTTGGCAGTTGGGTGGAGTAGGAAATTTTGTAGGAATTGTAACTTCATCATCTGATGAATTCTCATTGGATGGTGCACTTTGTGTTTCATTTATATCATACAAGTTTCTTTTTCTTTTTAATTCTTGTACCTTCAAAATCCGATGCCAAATCTTCTGCTCTAGAAGCTTTCGCCTTTGCCTTTTGTAAATTATCTAAAATAAGCAGCATATACATTTACTATGTATATATATGCGAAATATTTACTATAATAATAATATTAAATATTTACCATAACTATCTCCATTCCCCAACTGTCAGATTTTAAATAAAGGCCATGAACCAAATATTAGTTTCTCGCATATAGTTATGGCATGCGTTCATCTTTTGCCAGTGTATGGTGGCCAATAGCATAAATTATCATGTAACCATGATTTCGGTACAGCTTCAACCACATTTTCTGTAGTAAAAAACATTACAATCCATTCCATAGCGAGTATACCTTATTCTCTATAATCTTATGTTACTTAATATTATAAACATAAAATTTTTTATAATTAGATCAATAATATTATTATATTTAATATTAAATAAATAATAAAATACTGCTTTAATTGCTATCAAACTGTATGACAAAGAGGAAGCATAATATAAATATCATTGTACGGTAAAATCACAAATTTTAAAGAAATATCTTCTACTGGTAACATTAATAATTCGCTGAGATGTTTACAGAATATATATCTAACATAGAAGACTGAAATGGTTCATGAATAAAATTTGTTAGTGACAAATTTTCCTCCAATAATATAATAATTATTGCTTTGTCTTACAAAATTTTCTGCTAGTACTATATCTTCATTTTTTAGATAACAATTATCTCCAAAACGAGTACTGAGTAAAATATTATTAATAGTTAGTTTCTTGTATTGAGCTGAACAGTTTTCTGCTATTAAAGGACCTTCACAATGTTCTTGTTGGACATGTAATTCTGTGTTTTGTTTTTTCTAATATGTTTTGCGATTCATAAATTTTTCAATATTTGTGCTAATGGAATATCAGGTTTTCTGACTAATTTCTTCAAGTGTTGTAGATAATTCTCGAAAGGAAATGCACTATAGTTATTTAGATTTCCAAGATATCTGCAGTCATCGACAATATGAATCAACCCATGCACATTATGCGAAACATATTCCACTCCGTATATAACAATAAATTCTTTGACAACATATTTTAACAATGACTGTGCATAATTGAAATATTTTAAACATAAATTAGCACTTAATAGAATTCGAATAGCACAGTGTAAGGACATAAAATATAAATATTTATCAGTTGGCATGCTTTAAGATAATTGAGCCACAATATAATAAAAAAAATCAAAATTCTACTGCTTTCCAACGTTTAAGTTTATCTAAAGAACGAGTTTTTCTTACAAAATCAGATGGAATAAATGATTTTATGCAAATGAGATAATTTGAAGTATCTTGTGTACATGTTTTTGATAATCTATATGAAATAGGACTAAAAAGTCATATAATCACGATAAGCTTTTTTACAACGCCGAGGCAAATCAAATGCATGTATTCCAAGAGAAAACTGCGTACCATGAAGGTATTGTTTCTAAAACTGAATTTCCTATATGATGTTCAGGTTGAATTTGATCATGAAAATTTTTGTCTGTTCTTTTAATACAGTTATTTTTATGATAACAAACTCTTCCTCTTATGTACTTTCCTTTTTGCATGCATTTAGTACAAGAAAAATATCCAGCATGATTTTTGCAATAAGTTATAAAAGACTTTGCTGGAGCATCGCAAATAAATGCTTTAATTTTATATGGTACGATTGTTGTAAGTAACACCTTTTTGTGATAATTCTATAGCTCCTGTTGTAAAGTCTGATAAAAAGTCATTAGCATCCTTAGGTTTCTCATAACCATAATATATACCAATGATAGATATATTTTGTGGATAGTCAGATACTGAACATAATATAGGATATATTTGGCTACTCGAGCTCTTGCTAAGAGGCAAACCATCAATATTAATTAACAAATCAATCTTTTCCAGTGGTTTGCCTGTTAACTTGATAAGTTGATTGACAGAATTTTCAAATCCGATATGTGAATAAACACCTGGAGCTACAGATTTATATGATGTATGTCGAGGAGTTATGCAGTAAGTTCTAGGGTCTTGAGGTAAATTACTAAGTCCTTTTATTGATTGTAACAATTGTAATAAATCTCGTAAAGCATTGTGTGGAATTTTATGAAATATTGCCCATGTTTGTAGTTTATTGCTAAAACTTTCTTCAGTATTTACTATTTCATTTTGTTTTAAATGTGCAAAATTATTATCTTCATTATTGCCTTCAACGTTATTATTAAAACTATCACAAGACTGTTCACTGGCATCATTATTACCGAAGTGATTGGAAATATTGTGTGTCAAGTTATTAAAATGACTTGAAGTATTAGAAGGACTTATAATATTAATAATTTCAGATTCTTCGATATTTTCCTGATGTTACATTACATTTAGAAATTTTACTAACATTAACAGTGGATGTTGGTAATTTATTGCAGAAATCAGGACAATCATATAATAACTTTAAAGATGTAATTGTTGCTTTTTTTACTTTTCTGTAAAATGTTGCTTTAGAATATCTATTCATTATTATTAGGTGTTTGTTTTCTTTTTAAAATTTACGTATGCCTGAAAGCTACTTCTAATTCTATTTTGGCAAATTTCGACATTGATGTAAAACTAACCTTCTTTTAATAGACCATTCTTTAATGCTGGATTCTTTTTCTTCGTTCGTTTCGTTCGATATTGGCTCTTGCTGTCTAATTCTTCAGAATAAAAATAGATATTACGATTTAAACATAAAACTTAGGTAGATTGATTAAAATTCAACTTTAAAGGTCATTCTACAATGAGGTTGTAGTAGTATGCAGTAGGCAAATTGACCAATCACAGTCGATTATTCTTTGATCGTAAAGAGAACAATCGATCGTGATTGGTCAATTTGCCTACTGCATACTATTACAACCTCATTGTAGAATGACCTTAATAGCTCGAGTGCAGAATAAGGACTTGATTCTCTTCTTCTGTTATGGGAAGTACACACTGGACGCGATGAACAATGTCCAATAAGACCCAGTTCCACAATTTGCTTTAAACTCCGTTTAAAGCAAGTTGTGGAACTGGGCCTAAGAGTATGGGTGCATTCAAAACTGGGCACGATCCATTAAGCCAGCGGCACACGGTGCTTGTTTTCGTGCTGGATTACTTGCTGGATGAAAATACTGCGTTCTGATTGGTACATTTCCGAAGATGGATGGAAATGCACCAATCAGAATGCAGTATTTTCATCCAGCAAGCAATCCAGCACGAAAACAAACACCGTGTGCCGCTGGCTTTACACATTGCAATCGCTTCAAAGTGCCATATGAACCAATCGTGGCTTTCTCTCGGGTGCTTCGAAATGTTCGCAACGTCTAATGGATCGCACTCTACAACCGCTCACTGAGCGCTCAATGAGCGGGTGTAGTACTGATGCACCAATTGTTTAAAAAAATAGAGTTCTTATTAGATATCGCTCATCGCTCGTCGTTAATCGCGTCCAGTGTTAATTCAGCAAAAGGCTCTTGCAAACCAGCGCGATGCGCGACGCGACACGCGATGTCCAATGAGCGTACAGCTTTTTCGAACGTCACATCCGTCGCACGATAGATCGCGACATCGCAAAAAAGTTAACCAAGTTTGAAGATTTGTCGCGTGCGATGAGCGATGCCGACCTAGACTGTGTTCCGATATTTATTGTCAGTACTGAAAATCTATAGTATACGTGACACAAACTATATATTTTCAGTACTGGCAGTGAATATCGGAACTCAGCCCTAGAGTCCCTATAAGATAGAGTCTGGCTAGAGACCATTGAATTAGAGTCTGGCCATAAGGATTCCACTTTTGATTGGTCCGCCAGTTTTGGCAACTCCCGCTCATATTTGAATGACCTTACCATGCGCTTGCTATTAGCGTAAGTATAATTTAACAATACACATAGTTATACGAAATAAGTATACAAATTATGTATTAAAATATTTTCTATATTGTAATATATTGTTGTAATATCTTATCATTGTTGTAAATCATTAATTCTAAATTCGACATTTTTGCTATTACATTTTTATTAAAAGGAGAAATCGCAATAGTTTTAGACATTTTCTTACCAGTAGATGTTTTTTTCTTGTTTCTGGCTTGATAAATATTTAAGAAATCCTGTAAGATATTGCCAGTCATCATTATCATAATTAGTATTTTTAATATCATTAATGAATATTGCAATTAAAAGCTACTGCTGATATGAATGTATCATAAATAGCTATGACAAGAACAAAAGTAACAACGTAAAGTGACATTTATGAAAATTGTAAGAATCTATTTCAAATTAAGAGAAGCATTTAAGAAAAGCATTTTTATATATTTATTAACGATTATTTATGCGTATACATGTTAACAATGGTTTCAAATTTTGACAGTTGAATTCTGAATGTTGCAAATTCATTTGATAAAAAATGTGCAAACCGCATTTAATAATCGAGTGTACAGAATAAAATAAACACGCGCGTATACTCACAAGAAATGCAGTCTTTGCAAATGTGACAAATATGATCGAACAAATAACAACGTTCGCAATATAACAAAATTTTCGTGAGACCGTAATCGTTGTAACCAAATAAAATTTTGTTATTTAAATTTATGCTTAAATCTAATAATCCGTGCAGTAATAATCCGTGCAGATAATAGTGTAATATCATGATATTATCATATATAAATATTTTTAACAAAATATAAAATATATATCTTCGATATGTCATCTATAGTAACTTAGACAAATTGTATATAAGTAATTGTTATATCACACTTTTCTACAATATACTTACAATATACTTCTATAATATATATTTACGTTTTCCATATTAATCTCTTCAGTTTCAATGTCATTAGATGTAGACTCCAAAACATCATTTATAATAACCTGGAAAGAGAGATTGTACAACATAAATTGTTATATCATACATTTGTTCTATGATATACTTATATTTTCCATATCAACCTCTTCATTTGTAACGTCATTAGCTGCTTGTCCATTTGTATCTTCACTTGTGTGTCATTGGTTATTTTATTAACAGTACCATTATCATCTTCCAGGTCTTTCATTACTTGCTTCTTCATGAAAAACCCAATAATCGTTGGTACTGCATCTCGTTTTAATTTCCGTTTGCGGCCAAGTTTCCACATTTCTGGGGCAAAATGAACCTACATATATATATTATAACAATAAGTTACTTATACACTTTAATCATGATTGTAAGAAAAACACAGAAACTTCAGAAAGTTATTAGTTTAAACGTGACAGATTCAATTAACATTACTATTATTTAGTTATAATAAACTAATATATTACTAACCTCGCAAAGAAAACAATTATTTGTTGGTATCCAATTTTCTCGAGGTACATTTTGTACCCAAATAGCCCGGCGTATTGGATCTCGTGGAAATATTTTCATTGATATAACCTTTTGTCGAGGAATTATTACAAAATGGTGCTGCACATCCACCCATTTTTACAAGTTTTACAAGTTTTATAAATGCTTTATATTTACACTTCTTGTTGCATATATATAAGCACATCTGACAAAGCTAGGTTAAAAGAAAGAGATAGCGAATGTATATGTATATAGCTTTCTTTCTCGCAGGATTTTGCCAAAATCTCCTTGTGGCCAGACTCTAATTCTAGGGTCTCTAGCCGAGCCCAGTGTGTGGCGCCCTCTGTACAACCGTGCACATGAACTACGATGGCTGCGTTCAGAAGAACAAAATGATCAGTGAGCGCTTAATGATTCTCGCTCCTGATTGGTAAATACTTCTGGGTCTATGAAGAATCTAAAAGAATACCCCAATCACAGACAATAATCATTAAGCGCTCACTGATCACTTTGTTCTGCTGAACGCAGCCGATACCCATGTTCACGACTCATTACTGATTTCCCCCACTACGCACGCACACATAGCCGGCTCAGTCTATCCATGTGGACCACACGCTCGGCAATCGTCGGCGCGCCGAGCGACAGAGAGATATCATTCCCTCCTCCTCGCTCTCGTGTTCGCTCAGCCACGCGAGTGAGAATATCTTTCCTTCTTTCTCGCTCAGCGACACGAGAGCGAGGCATATTCTTTTTGGGCTATAATCTGACAAGGGCTGCTACTAAACTTGGAGTCACTGATTTTGACGAGCTTTAACAGAAATATAGTATAGGTCCAGCAAAAGCTACTGTTAACCGGAGACGATGCAACACTCAAGCATTTGAGGGAAATTACAAGTTGAAATTTCGCGATTTTAAGTATGCTCAGTTATTCCAACATTTGTAGAGTTATTTCCAAATGACGGTGTAGTGCAGCAGACTGGGCGCGGTGCTGGTATTCGCCAGGTTGCGTGTTCCCGCTTAGTTATGTCTTGTTATTTTTTTAATTTATGTGTTTTTTACTCTTACGAATAAAAATATACATATTACAGAAGATAGGAAGATAAATTCATTATACAAATAACCTTTTCTATGTTTTATGAAGGAGAATTCTCGCATTATAATTTTTATATATTATATTTTCATATATTATGTTATATACTTCAATATCTATATATTACGTGTCTTTATATAACATTACATATATATATATATAAATTTTATATATATACATACAAATGTATTATATATATACAAACAACATACATACAAACGTATTAATTAAAAAATACATGCAATAAACACTAATTATATATAATATACAGGGTGTCCCATTTTAAAGTCCCACCCCAAATAACTCTTCAGTATTGAAATTTCAAGGAAAATGATCTGAATAAAAGTTGTAGAGATTTAAGTGAGCTACCTTATGATGACCTTGACTTTGACCTCCATTTTCAATTTGAAAGTCAACTTGCGTTTTTTAAATGGGAATCCTTATTTGTTATTACACTGTTTTTACCTACTAGTTAATTTGAACAACTTTTGTCTAAAACATTTTTTTATTTGCCTAATATTTTTTTAGATGTTTGAGGAAAATTTGATAATTTTTTCAATATTTAACTTACAATATCTCGCTAATTATTTGTCGGAAGAAAAAGTGGTACAAGACTTTCTTGCTTTATTTAGTCTTAAGAATATATTGTTACAATAGCGCCCTGATTTTTGTTAATTTGATGATTTCGAAATTTCCAAAAATCAATAAGTTAACAAAAGTCCAAGCGCTATTGTAACAATATATTCTTGAGACTAAATAAACTAAGAAAGTCTTGTACCACTTTTTCTTCCGACAAATAGTTAGCGAGATATCGTAAGTTAAATATTGAAAAAGTTATCAAGTTTTCCTCAAATATCTAAAAAATATTAGACAAATAAAAAAATGTTTTAGACAAAAGTTGTTCAAATTAACTAGTAAAGAAAAACAGTGTAATAAAAAATAAGGGTTTCTATTTAAAAAACGCAAGTTGACCTTCAAATGACCTTGAAAATAGAGGTCAAGGTCAAAGTCAAGGTCATCATAAGGTAGCTTACATAAATTCCTACAACTTTTATTTAGATTATTTTCCTTGAAACTTCAATATTATTGAGTTATTTGGGATAGGACATTAAAATGGGACACCCTGTATACCTCTTTTTGAATTGTGTGTCCATTCTTTTTCATAAAACATAGAAAAGGCTGTTTGTATAATGAATTTATCTTCCTATTCTTGTGTAATATATATATTTTTATTCCTAAGAGTAAAAAAGACATAAATAAAAAAAATAAGACGTAGCTAGGCGCAAACACGCAACCTGGCGAATACCAGCACTGCGCCCAGTCTGCTGCACTACACCGTTATTTAGAAATAACTTTGCAAATGTTGAAATAACTGAGCATACTTAAAATCGCGAAATTACAATTTGTAATTTCCCCCAAATGCTTGAGTGTTGCATCGTCTCCGGTTAACAGTAGCTTTTGTTGGACCTATACTATATTTCTGTTAAAGCTCGTCAAAATCAGTGACCTCAAGTTTAGCAGCAGCCCTTGTCAGATTATAGCCCAAAAAAATATGCCTCGCTCTCGTGTCGCTGAGCGAGAAAGAAGGAAAGATATTCTCACTCGCGTGGCTGAGCGAACACGAGAGCGAGAAGGAGGGAATGATATCTCTCTGTCGCTCGGCGCGCCGACGGTTGCCGAGCGCATGGTCCACACGGATAGACTGAGCCGGCTACGATACGTGCGTAGTGGGGGAAATCAGAAAAGAATCGTGGACATCGTAGTTCATGTGCACGGTTGTAGAGAGGGCGCCTCACACTGGGCTCGGCTAAAAGCGGCCCATGACACTTGTCCTTCTTCTTTCTGGTAATAGAATGGTCTGATATCCCCTTCAAAAAATTTAGTATTATTTTAACCCAATATGATAATTACAACTGCTGGAAAGTTCTAATTATAGTTTGAGTCTTGACGAAATATATCGGAGATTGGTAAATTATAGTTCGAGTCTCGGCTAAAATCAAGTTTAGTGACTAAATCAGGTGTTTTTAACTTTCTAGAAGCTAGACCAGGTGTTTCCCATAAACTTTAGAATTCGAATAGTATTCGTCGAATTATGTAAAATTGTGAAACCCTCGAATTTTTCCCTGCATTAGAAATGCTCCAAAATAATTACCTTTTAGTTTTCTAGTAATATATATATATATATATTAAATTAAACTATACATACATATTATACTAAATTAAAATTAAAAAGTAAATTAAAGGAAAATTAGAAGAGGTAATTATTTTTAGATTTTTCTTTTATTTTCATCGATTATTTTCTTTAATGTAATTCATCCCTATTCCTGACTATGATTTATGTTACTTCAGTTGAGGAGTGAAATCACACTTAATATAACGATGTAAGGGAATCACTTAACTTTGTTGTGAAAAAAGGAGCAGTAACAACATATATTTGTTCAGAAACTTTATTTATTACGTATACTAGTCGACTACTATGCATGCGTTAGGGCATTCGGATACAGAGCGATCGCTGATCCAAAGCCTATCGTTAAGTATCTTCACAATAACAGCGGTGTCCATTTCGTAACTCTTGATTTGCTCTCTCTCTCTCTCTCTCTCTCTCTCTCTCTCTCTCTCTCTCTCTCTCTCTCTCTCTCTTCCCCCCTTTCTCTCTCTCTCTCTCTCTCTCTCTCTCTCTCTCTCTCTCTCTCTTTCTCTCTCCCTCTCTCATCTGTGAGAAACGTGTGATTACCGTTCTCATGATCGAGTTTTTTTTAAATTATAGTGCGTTACGTGTGCGTGTATGTATAGCTGGGTGGATCGAAGTCAGACGTAACGTACGCTTCGCTCGATCATTAGCCACGTGGGTACTTGCGGAGATCCCGTTCGAGAACAAGCGAAGATTCCCGACGCGATTTGTCTTTGTCTCGTTTCATGGAGATTCACGTTTATCGTAAGTACGCATACGTCTCTCGAGTTCCATCGGAATAAAATGATAATAATAATGCTCCCAAATAGACTTCTTAACAATTTCCTAACCACCTGCATATGAGGAAATGAACGAGTTCCTTAGCCCGCGCTAATAGTCTTTTAACTGCTCCGCTATAATATTTATTATATGATCATATTTTAAAACGAATGATCGGGGAACGATAAACTTCTTACGTCGAGTTGAAAAATTCCTGGCGAACTTTTTTCAGGGAAGCAAAACACTGCACAAATAGTAGAAAAGAATGAGAATCAAGAATGTCGTGTCGATCAACTTAGGTTTCGTTTTCGCTTGTGAATCTCCGTGAGATGACGAGAATACATAATACATAATTTTTTTCGAGGGTTCTTTCGGGGAGAAAATGTAATAAAGCAATATACTCTTCTTTCGGTTGCCTTTCTCACTCTCAAGATCTCGCCAACTCTCGAATGCGCATACTCGTAGAGGGATCTCCGTTTAGCTCGGCGTATCTCGCGCGCAACCACATTTTATACTTTAATATCATCTTTTTTTCTCTTTATATATATTCGTACATATATATATATATATATTTATATCTTATTTATATTTTTTTATTTATATATTTATATACAGCGGGCGGGCGCCGAGACGACGGCACAACGCGGTAATGACGCGGAGTTCACTCGCGATGGAAATGGAGAGGATTAAGGAAGAAATTAGACCAACGAGTCAAAGCTCTCACGAGATGGTCGTGTAGATTCGTTTCTCGCGACCATGTGCATCTGACCAATGCATCTGACGAGACGCCGTCATTTCGTCACAACCGCCTCGCGTAGAACGTATCTGTTAGTAAAGTATACCTTATCGAGCTAAAACTTATATCGATATATTGCACATTTGACAACAGTTACGTTTCTCTTTAAGTACTTGGATATAGGAAGTTTTCGCTAATAAATCTTTGACTCGCATGCTTCTTTCGTTCTCTCCTTCGCACACACGCACACATACTTCTTTTTGCCGTTTATCGCTTCTCTTTCCTTCATTATCTTCTTCTGCCGTACACATTTGCACCCGTTCGTACTTACCACACGCACACGCTTGCTTTCTTTTTCCCTCCCTCCCCTCCTCCTTCTCTCTCTCTCTCTCTCTCTCTCTCTCTCTCTCTCTCTCTCTCTCATATCACGCGCGCAAATTTAGCGGTCGAAACAGCTTTCGATGCTTGTGTATTGCCTTAAACTTGTAAGTCTTATATAGGGGCGCCTTTTTATGTATGTATAATAGAAGTCTTTGACCTCGTTTCTTCGATGTGTGTCTATATGATCCGTTTATACTTCGTTAAATATCCCGCGGCTTCTCACTTTCTATTTCTCTTACTGTCTGCGTTGTTCAACGTTCGTTGCTGGTAAACGCTCGGAAGGCGATATCTTCGTTTGTCCTGTCACGTTTTACTCTCACACACACACACACACACACACACATACACACACACACACACACACACATACACACCACGCACGCCGCACGCATACATACACACGCGCTCGTACGCAATAGCGCGCTATTGAAAGCGAATATAGCTCCTAATTAGGTATTTTCATCCGTTAATCCATTCGGACTATCGGCCGAATCGAATAATTACGTCTGTCCTTCGCTGACGACCTTACTCGAGAGGAGATTTTCCTCCTTACGAGGAGGCGTGGCCGTGCGCGTTCGTCGACGACGAGATCATCCGCCACAGCTGGTCGATCGATGATTCTTCATTGTATATACGTTGCATCGTCGATAGGCTACTGCTTCGTTGATGAGGATTAAGCTTAACAATTAGTTTCATTGTTCCGTTCCTGCGGCGTTTGCTCGTTCCGCTCGGTGTTTCATTTCATCTCGCTTGGTCTCGTCTCTCGTACCGAGACGCCTCGCGGGTATCGTTCGTTACTATATGTATATGCAATTCGTCAAGTCGTTGTTAAGGATCCGTTCGCGTGAATCTGTGACAAGTCAAAACCCACGCATCCGGCTTGATCGACTCGCGAGATGCGCGAACGTATCTCTGCATTACGGCTGATGGGGGACTTGCTTCGTTTATGCTTCGTTGTGCTCGTGCTTGTACTTGTGCTCGTGTGCGTATATGTGTGTGTATGTATGTGTGTACATGTGAATTTATATGTGTGTACACGCGTCCACGATCTCCACGATCCAGCCTACAAGTGCGGAAACGCGACAGGAGAGTGTGGACATCGAAGACGAGACCGCTCGTCGTTGCGATGATCACCCGCCGCTTCCTGGCCGCGAGATCGACTCCGGATTACTCTGGTGACGTTGCGTTTTCGTCTGCCACGTGTCATCCGTGCGTCGCCGGTGAGGAACTCGTCCACGAGTGAGCTTAGATTAGCGTACTAGTTTATTGTCGGTTGACCAGTCTCAGCGGAGATAAATCAAGAGCAAAGTCTCTAATAATTCTCTCCCCTGGGACGAATCTGCCGACGAGCTGCATCTCCGATCGCAGCGGCTCCGGATAGAATTTGCCTCCGGAGGAGGAGAACGTCAGGAGCTGGAAGGGGGAGGTAGAGGAGAGAACGGAAGAGGTAATTGGGAGCTAATCTCCGCCAATGACACCGGAAAGATCCTTCAGCCTCAGCACGGCCTGTCCTCTCCGCGAGGACACCGGTTAAAAATATATCATTGATCTTCATATCGGTGCTGCCGATTTGTTCGCGAGGATCGCTGTGAAGATCCTCACGAGGATCTCCAAATCGGCCGTCCGAGATCGGCGAGATGACATGCGCCATTTCGAATGGTGCGTCAGTAGCGGAAGTGGAGAATACCGAAACGGACACGGAACTGTCAGTCATTGTTGTAAGTACGCGGCATCGGCGCGATCGTGATTAAACTGAGGCGTGCAGCGTGCTGGACTGCGGCGCCGACGGATACGAGCTGCTCGGTGGCGCCGAAGTTGGCTGCAGACTTAGTTGCAACTGATGCTGCTGCGCTTTCGCCCTCAGGCAGGCGATACTCTCGTTTCTTAGCTGCTCCGTGTCCTGTACGACACCTGAAAGCACGGAAATGAGTATGAACATGGTTGAAACGTTCGCCGGCAGCAAAGGACGTCTGTAACGCTTCACGGTTTCGACTTAGACATTTTCTTAGATTGTGCAAGTGGTACTTGAATGTTCTTGAACAGTGAATGGTATGATAATGGTCTCTCTTGATAATAGTCTCTTGATAACGGGGAATTTTTCAAAATTTATGAAAGAAGTTAAATTACGTAAGATTACACAAAAATAGATCAATCACAGACACATAATGTATGATAGATACAGATGAACCGCACACATATTGTATAAAAATAAATAAACCACACACACAGAGACGAATAAATCGACAGGAAACTGATCTTGGATTCTTCGGTCAACAAAAATCAACTTACTTTTAGCTACGTGTGCGCTCGAAGAATATTGTGTGTCTAAGACAAAAATCGAAAGTATTATTGGTGTCTCTTCTATTTTAGAAAACTCAACAGTGTTTCGAAAAAGGTATTGTAGACATTTTTTAATGCAGAACGACAGTTTTAAGGACTTGAATTATATCAACGTGTCATTATCTCGGCGATATCTAAATATTGCATATCTCGCTTTTAATTTCACCGTTAAAATGTTGAAAACTTTTTGCTCTTTTGTCTCCGGATTTGTTAAGAAAGAGAGAGACGAAACTAATAACATATTTCGGTATGTTATCGAATTTATTTTGCATCGCTGTCCGAACGGCTAACAATCGACGTACTATACATACAATATAGTAGAGACGAAAGGACTTACTCGTGGACGAAGAAGGTCCCATACCATCCTGACTTTCCTGTCCGCTCTCCGAGCTGGTTGGTCCTCCTTGATGATGATTGTGATGGGGGCTGTTTCCGCTTCCGTTATGGTCGTTGCCGCTGTCCTCTCCGCCGGATTTGAGATGCTCCGCCGCCTCGAGCGACTTCCGATGCATCCCTACGGGTCCACAGTCAATCAGTTCTTGATTATTTTCGAAATCTTGGTTAAAGCCGCTTGTCTTAGATGATTGAGCTGATAGAGACGGACAGAAAAAAATATTCGACATTTTTTTGGGCCGTCTTAACTCGAGTCTGTTCTTGTCGGGAGTTCTTGGCGAGGGGAGGGGTATTTTTTCTCGGATCTCGTTAGATCAGCGATAAATGCAGATTTCATTCTAACTTTGATCATTTATCGCTGAGCATTCGCTGAGACGCATCGCGCGATGGAATAAAATTGCACCGATTAGTCCCTCCAGAGTTTTTTGAATATTTGGTAAAATAATTGACGGAAGAATCTCGTAATCATGTTCAGTTCAAGCGATGGATGACATATCTTATGACATTTATAACATATTTTCTGGTGTAATATATTTCATCATTTTTGTATAACGATCCATCTGTGATATAGAGTTGTCAGTGTTGGTGCAATTTTATTCAATCTCCGACCGGTGACTAGCGATTGAGAACTATCAAATCTCAACTAATTTCCAGCTCAAGTTTAAGAGGGAGATTTGAGGACACGTGTCGTGTTCGCGCTCGAGTCGTTCTATCGTAATGACTAATTGAACGATTTTGCCGGAGGAGATTTATCCTTACCTAATAGCCATGGTGCAACGGACTCGTTCTCCTTGGCACTTCTTAAAATGGTTTCCGGAAGTGGCAGAGAATGTCGGACCATCGCCCCGTACAGACCATACTCCGCCATTATAGTACTTCTGCCCCAACACTTTTCCGTCTTGCGCCACTTTGCTCTCCGATTTTGAAACCACACCTGGAACAATGATTGACGTTCACTCAGGGAAGAGCATTCCTGTGCATCTTATATGCGACAGAAAGGAAGAAAAAAATGCGTTGATTTGACAAACGATAAAAGACGAGCTGCGATCCGGTTAACTTTCCAATTAACGTTGAAAGCGTCTCGACAAATCTTTCAAAAAGGACTAAAACATTCAACGTGCTTGATTTCGCCGATTGCAGGGAAATTCTGCCGACGAATTATTAAATCGATCGAATTATTAAATATATGGAGAATAAACGTAATAAATTTTGGAGATACTGTCATCTCGTTTCATGACCTCTCGTTTGGCAGTAAAACCAATTCTTTGGACTCCCACTAAGGGTGGAGGAGAGGAGGAGTTTAAATTCTTCGCCCATCTCAATTGAACACGATGCTCTTTTACATGTAGTATTGTATTAGGAGGTTACATTAATTCGTGCCACTGGGGACAGATGATTCTGGATGTTACTTTAGTTACTTTAGTTCATGCTGTAGCCATTAGGTTTTAGAAAGTTATACAACAAGTGCAGCTGAAGTTTACTAATTGCTTCTGATGTTCTTATAAACTGTTCTTTCGAAAAGAACGTGTAGAAAATGAATGCAACGTTTCAAAGAAGGTGATATTGAAGTTCGAGGCAAGAAACATTCAAGGCAGCCGAAAAAATTTGGCGGAAGTTATTGGATGAAAATTCGGCACAGACGTTCAAAGAATTGTCAGTAGCCCTCGGAATCGACAAATCAACCGTTTCGAAGCGGCTACATGCCCTAGAGAAGATCCACAATGAAGGAAAATGGGTATATCGTTAATTGTCAGAAAGCTCAAAGTTGAATCGCTTGAACATTTGCATTTTCTTGCTCGCTAAACATAGGAAGAAAAGCTTTTTGTGACGTATCGTGACTGGTGACGAAAAGTGGATGTATTACGAAAATCCGAAACGAAGGAAGTCGTGGGTGAACCTCGGTCAATTTTTAACATTAACACCAAAGTGAAATATTCATGGAAAGAAGATGCTACGTATTTAGTGGGATATGGAAGGCGTAGCATATCATGAGCATCTGAATCCTAGTGAAGCGATTAACACCATATTTTATCAACGGCAACTGGAGCGATTGAACGACTGAATTGATGCAAAAAAGTAGCCAGTAATAAGCGGAAAGTGATCCTCTAATATAACAACGCTGGATTGCATATGGCAAGAACGGTTAAAGAAACACTGATGGACCTGGAGTAGGAAGTTCTCCCGCACTTAGCGTATTCCCCCGATCTTGCTCCTTCCGATTTTCACCTGTTCCGCTCCATGCAACACGCCTTGAAAGATACGCACTTCGCCAACTTCGAAGAACTCTGAAAATGGGTCGATGATTGGACCGCCTCAAAAGACAGGTCTTTCTTTCGACGAGGAATCCAGCTTTCATCAGAAAGATTGCAAAAAGTAATCGAAAGCATTGGTAATTACTTTGATTGATATCTGATTGTAACATATTATGAAAATAATAAACATTCCAAGTAAAAAAACGACATGAATTAATGCAATCCCTTAATAAAAAAATATTGCCTCAGTTAGGAGACGAATTTAAACTAATTATCGGCTAAAAATTGTTTCTCAGTAATTAAACATCAGTGAGAGGTCCCTGATACATTGTCTTCAACGTAATTAATTATACCTTGCAGATAAGTGAAGAAAGTGTGGCAGTATTATAGTAACAATCATCAATGACGACCATTCAATGTGCCAATGTGAAATATTAAAAAAAAAAAATTAACGACCCGCGTGCTAAAATGGTCTCGATCGTGCGGATTACACATTCGGCCACGTCGGCGTTGTAGAATGACCTGCACACTCACGTTATTCTCCCGTAATTAGAGTAGTGGATGATCGGCTACTTTATTCAATTAGCGGCGCGACACGCGCCATGAGACGCTGTTGTGTAGTTAAGCATTACGCTCAAACGACTCAACCGCGAGCTATAACGCTGTTCCATTTTGTTCATGCCCATTAGGTTACTTGTTAGCGATCCCGGGGCGACTCGGCCTCCTACAGCGAAGACGCGTGTCGCGCTTCCTCGGAGCGGCGTTCGTGTAACGAAGCCACGTTTCCGAAGTAACAAGCCCGATTCCGTTCGGGCGTATTCCATTGCGCGTATTTGTTTACGAGCTGCTCGTCCGTGCAGTTGCCGAATAGTCGTTGGCCGTGGCCGACTCTCGCAGATGCTTGCCGCTTTCAGACACCTCGGATCGTCGCTGAGAACGACTCCGTTGTTCATTCGTTGACGAAGCCCCCCTCTTGATCGTTATCGACAATTATCACTGTGGAAACCGAGATCAAGACCTTCCCCTCGCGGCGTTATTTATTCTCGCCGGTTCCTTTCCGTTGGCAGCGCGTAAACGATCGGAGAGTGGAAGCGAGCGGAAACACCGGCGCCGCGGACGAATCTCCGAATTCGGTTTTCCGTGTTTCCCACGCTGGCCAATCGAATCCTTGTTAATCCGCATTACCTTCGCTGCCGTGCCAAGGTCCACCGGCCGGTGCAAATCTTTTTCCGTGGCGCTCCGCCTGTCTCCTTGACGATCGTTTGTTATTTACGTTTGTTATTTAAAAGGGGCCGTGAACGCGCATCAAGTCGTCCCGTCTGTTCGCTCATACGTTTCGCGCGCGCGCATGCAGAGGGTGGCCGGAGGCTAGGGCGTGGACCAATTTGTAGCAACAATGCCAAAGTCACTGGCAGAATCGGCGCGTAATTCGAGTGAATGGAAACGCGTCACCCTGTCAATTTGTGCTGCCACTCCGAAATTATCTTCCGCTTAGATTTCGTCGGACGTGCGGTTTTTCGCGCTCCGTGCGCACGCTCGCCAAGAAAGCTCGAGGACACGGCGTGTCCTCGCGATGATTAAGTCGCTCTTTAACTCGTAAAATCACGTGTTATGTAACTTTCCCCAGCCGATCGCATCGTTACTTTTTTCTTTAAAAGCGATTATATCAAGTGAGCAAAAACAGTCTGGGCTTTCTTTTGCAAAATTCAATCTTTTTTTAAAAACAAACAAAAAGATATTAATCAGCGAAATATTCTCCATTTGCGTCGATGATCTTCCGGGCAGCTTACGAATTCCTTGATGATAGAAGCTCACCGGCTTTGAGGCGACAAATCATCAATGCATTTCCATATCTCCTCAACTATCACGAAATGTGTATCAGCCAAATAATACTGCAGCGATCGAAATAAGTAGTAATTGAAAGGCGCCATGTTTGGGTTATGTCGCGTACGGAAGAAATCCGTTTCAGTCCTAGCCTAACGTTAAGATATGCTCCTGAGTTGCTTTCGCAACATGTGGTTGGGCATTGTCATGAAGCAAGATCACTTTACGACGTCCTTGGCTAGCAAATGGCCTCTTTTCCTCCAACGCATCGCTCAAATTGATCAATTGTTGTTGATAGCAGTCTGTCGTAATTGTTTCGCCGCTGTAACAACTCATAATTCAACACACCTTTCCAATCCCATCAGATGCAGAGCAAAACCTTCTTAGCGTGGATATTGGGCTTTGGCGTCGATGTCGAAGGTTGACCAGAGTCAATCCATGATTTTTTGCGCTTGGGGTTATCATAAAGTATCCAATTTTCATCGCCTGTAATGATTTTATGCAGAAAATTCTTTTTCCGGAATTTTGAAAGCAAAGTGAGTGCGGTGTTACGCTGTCAATTTTTGTTGTCTTTGGACAGTTCATGCGGAACCCATTTGCCTTTTTTTTAATTTTTCCCGTTGCATGTAAACGTACGGAAATGGCTTGTCATGTAACACCAAGCTGCTGTGCAAGCTCCTTTTCAGTTTGTGCAGAGTTTATATCTAACAATGTTTGCAGTTTGTCCGTTTCAATCTTTTGAGGGTGTCCAGCATGCAGTTCATCTTCAAGACTAAAATCTTCTTGGCGAAATTTTTGATACTACTTTTTACACTAGAATGTAGAATGAATTACAACGTTCTCATCATATCGTTCGCAGCACAAATCATTTCAATGACTTCAGCAGCATTTTTCTTCAGATGAAACGCGAAGTGGATGGAAAATCATACATGCTCTTTCTTATTGCCACCCTGAGTATTACTAATTTTTGAGATTATGTGCATCAAACGTCAAACCGTATGGCATTTTAAAAAGCCAAATGTCAACGCTTTAAAACCGCAAAAGGGCGGGAGAATAAGTAAAATAAATTGTGGTTTCGATTGTATGAAATCTAAAACCCAAAACTTTTTTGCTCACTTAATATTAACGGAAGACCCATCTTTTCTTATTATGTGCACATCGCCTCTCCTCTTTTCTTACGCAGATCCTTAAGCTATCGTTAGTTCCCGTCAAGCGACAATAAGAAGACGCGCGAAAATCACGCACCGCCCGCGTTGATATATTAGCCGCGTCGAAAACGCGTAAACGAGCGGGTCGTGCGCGAGTTCTCATCTCTTCGTCGAAACATGATAACATTGGCACCGTCTCGCTGAAAAGGTAGGGCCTGTTGTTTAATAAGTGTCTAAGAGACACCGAATACGCGTCGTGGCCTCGACGTCGTCGTTTGAACATAAGCCGGAGGAGCTACGAGATATCGGTTAAGATGCTGCCAGGGCGAGAGTAGGGAAAGAGGAAAGGAAGGAGAGAGCGGCAGGAATAGAGGGCTGAGGGAGGGCGAGAGCGCGAGAACCCGGGGATGGAGGAGCAGGATTCGATATCTCATTATCGGTCGATCGTAAATTGAAGTTACCGGTAGGGAGTAACGAGATCTCCAATTATCCTTGGGACAGTGTCACCCTGCCTCATCATGTATATATACGTCCTTATAGTACGAATCTTGAAGAAAGGAAACAAGCGACGTTGAGCGCTTCTTAACCTTCGTCTCTTTCGCCGCCGCTGCGTTCCGCGCGACGCGATTAGCAAGGTTCTCTTGATTCTTTCCGATTGTCTCTCTCCGTGATCCTCCGCTGATCGCTCTATCGTGAGATTATCCCGACGA